TCCCCATCCCTTTTCCCTGACCCTCATCCCGCTGTTCCTCCTTCCCCATCCCTTTTCCCTGACCCTCATCCCGCTGTTCCCCCTGTGCCCGCAGAAATCAACGGCACGCAGATCTGCCCCACCTCGCTGGTGTCCATCCAGGATTTCTCGCCCTCCGACCTGGACAGCGTCCCGCGGCTCCGCTACCTGCGGCTGGACGGGAACCTGCTGAAGCCGCCCATCCCCCTGGACCTGATGCTGTGCTTCCGCCTGCTGCAGTCCGTGGTGTTTTAGCCCTGCCTCGCCTCTCCCAGCCCCGGCTTCGCTCGGACGTTTCACCCCCGGCGCCGTTCGACGCGTGGGACCCTCTCTCCTCCCTCTCCCCCTGCTCTCTCCCCGCCTCCATCCTCCTCCTCGCTCCTTTTCCTGCTCTGCAGGGATGCTGGTGGCTCCTTGGGGACAGATCTGTGCCAGCCCCGGTCGCAGCTCCCTGTCCTTGTCCCCCCGGCCCAGCCCGCAGCGGCTCCGTCTCTCCCTCGGGGGTTGGGGTCGGTGGGGATGGAGCCGCTCCCCGCTCCCGGGGAGCCGTTCCCGCTGGATTTTGGAGCAGGGATGGGATGGGAATGGATTGAGAGCGGTGGAAGAAGAGGGAGGATGGACAATCAGGCCATGCCAGGGGGTGGGGACACTCCTGTCGCCCTTCTGGAGAGCTTCGGCTCCACATTTCTCTGCGGGAGGAGGATCCGAATCCCTCCTGGAGCTGCGGATCTGCCGGGATGGAGCAGGGAGGGTGTCCTGCCCCTGTGGGGGTCCCACCTTCCCACACCCCCTGGGCAAGAGCAGACCCTGCCCGGCTTCAAATCCCCCATCCCAGCACCGATCCATGGGGCCACATCCCCAAAATCCTGAATCCTTCCCTGTAAAATCTGGGATCAAGGGCCACATCCAAAGAGCCAGAGCCCCATCCCAAAATCCTGCATCATTCCCTCTAAAATCTGGGATTCAGGGCCATATCTATGGGGTCACAGGCCATCCCAAAATCCTGCATCATTCCCTGTAAAATTTGGGATCAAGGGCTACATCCATGGGGTCACAGCCCCATCCCAAAATCCTGCATCATTCCCTCTAAAACCTGAGATTCAGGGCAACATCCATGGGGTTATGGCCACATCCCAAATTCCTGCATCCACATCTGTGGGGTCACATCCCCATCCCAAATTCCTGCATCATTCCCCATAAAATCTGGGATTCAGGGCCACATCCGTGGGGTCACAGCCCCTTCCCAAAATCCTGCATCATTCCCTGTAAAATCTGGGATCAAGGACCACATCTGTGGGGTCACAGCCCCTTCCCAAAATCCTGCACCCTTTCCTCTGAGATCTGAGGATTCAGGGCCACATCCACGGCTCAGTTTCTCTCTGGAGCCAACACACAAGGCTGGGTTCTGCCTTTTTTTTTTTTTTTTTTTTTTTTTTTTTTTAATTAGAAATAAAAGGAAGGGAGAAGAAAAGGGAAGAATCATCCTTTGGAAGGGCTATTTTTATCCCTGCTCTTCCCCATCCTCACATGTATCGCTTCCCCCTCCCGTAGCTGTACCTGCATTTATAGGGTGTCCGGGTTTAGGGGGGGATTATTCTCTTCTTTTCTTCCCGAGTCTCAGGATTTGGATTTAAATGCCGAGCATTAGAGAGGAAAAAAAAAAATTAAAAATAATTCAAAATACAACTGCAACGAGCATTAAATAAACCAAAGAAAACTCCTTTGTGTCCAGCCAGCAGAACTGCCACGGACGGGCACCGTGTCCAAACCCCTGCGGCCGGCACAGGGATGCTGCCCTTTCTCCATCAATTAAAACCTAATTTTAATTAATTAATTAATTAATGACTTAATTTTAAATTTAAATTTACATTAATATGTTTTGATTAATTAATTAATATTTTAAAATTTTAATTTACATTAATACAATTTAATTGATTACTTGATTAATTAATTAATTAATTAAAACCTATTGCGAATTAATGAGAGGTTTTCCCTGATGATCAAATCCCCTTTCCAGCTCTCCCTGCAGTTGGCTGGGACAGGTTTCAGCCCTAAACCCGGACGGACCCCCTGGATTTATAGATATTTATATCTGATGTGTATATAGACTGGTAGAATGTACAGACGTTCCTAAAGCCGCGTGTACCTCCCCACCCGGCAACTTTATGGGATTTTCACTCCCACTCCCTGCAGCAGTGGAAATAAAATCATTCACAAGGGACCCCGAGCCTCTCCCTGATCCATCCTCGCCTTCTTCCAGCTCCAAAATTTCCTTTCCTGGGGATGACTCTCCCAAAGTTTTTGGGGTTTGGTGGGCTTGGGGTTTTTGGCTGGAGGGATGGTGAATTTGGGAAGGAATTCTTGGCTGGGATGGAATTCCCAGAGAATCCGTGGATGTCCCTGGTTTCCTGGAAATGTCCAGAGTTAGGTTGGAGCAGCGTAAAATCTGGGATTGAGGGACACATCCAGGGGATCACAGACTCATCTCAGCATTCTGAATCCTTCCCTGAAAAATCTGGGATTCAGGGCCACATCCACGGGGTCACAGCCCCATTCCAGAATCCTGAATACTTCCCTGAAAAATCTGTGATTCAGGGACACATCCATGGGGTCACAGCCTCATCCCAAAATCCTGCATCCACATCCATGGGGCCACAGACCCATCCCAGCATCCTGCAAAATTCCCTGTAAAATCTGGGGTCACATCTATGGGGCCACAGCCCCATTCCAAAATCCTGAATCCATCCCTGTAAAACCTGAGGATTCAGAGACACATCCATGCGGTTACGGCCCACTCCCAAAATCCTGAATCCTTCCCTGTAAAACCTGGGATTAGTGGCCACATCCATGGGGTCACATTCCCATCCCAAAATCCTGCATCCACATCCGAGGGGTCACATTCCCATCCCAAAATCAGGGGGCCTCTCCCGGGGGGGCTGAGGGGCTCCGTGTGTGTTTTTTATGTGCACGGCACTCACCCCCCCCCCCCCCTCGCCATCCCCAGCGTGAATCCCCCACTCCCGGCGGGATTTTCCCTCCCCGGGGAAGTCGGAGCCGTCTCCCATGGGAGCTGAGCGCCCCAAAGCCGCTCCCTGCAAAGCCTCGGTGCCCCCGTGGGGTTGGGATTGGGGCTGGCATTGTGGGGAGCTGCTCCTGTGGGCTCACGGGCAAGGCTGGGACCCCCTCAGGAGTGGGGTTGGAGGGGTGGGGCTCCTCAGCTGCTCCCAGGGATTGGGATCAGGGGGAATTCTGGCTCCCGTCAATCCCCCTGGCAGCCTGTGACCCCCCAACCCCATCTGTGGGTGCTGAGCAGGGACCTCCTGCTCTGAGGGGCTGGCAGCGACCCTTTTTGGGGGCACTCAGGGACATTTGGGATGGTGACAGAACCTTCCAGGTGACACCGTCGGTGCGGGGAACGCTGAGGGGGCACAAGAGGAGTCTGCTGCTGGTGGGGACAAGGACAGGACATCATTCCGGGGCCAGGACAGAAAAGCAAAGACCCCAAAGACCCCACTGCCCTAGGGACCCTTCACCCCCGGGAACCCTTCACTGCCCTGGGGATGCTTCACCCCCGAGGATCCCACTGCCCCGGGGACCTTTCAACTTTGGGGGACCCTTCATCCCTCTGGGACCCCACTGCCCCGGGACCTTTCAACTTTGGGGGACCCTTCATCCCTCTGGGACCCCACTGCCCCGGGACCTTTCAACTTTGGGGGACCCTTCACCCTCAGGGGACCCTTCACCTTTGGGGGACCCTTCACTTTTCAGGGACCCTTCACCCCTGGAAGCCTTTCACCCCTCTGGGACCCTTCACCCCCAAAGACCCCATTGCTCTGGGAACCTTTCACCCTGGGGGGACCCTTCACCCCTGGGGGACCCCACTGCCTGGGGGACCCCACTGTCCTTGAGGACGCCTTCACCCCTGGAGATCCCTTCATTTATGGGGACTCTTCATCCTTGGGGACCCCTTCAATGTTTGGGACCCTTCACCCTGGGGACCCCACTGTCCTTTGGGAGTCTTCACCCCAGGGAACCCCTTCACCCTTTGGGACCCTTCACTCCCCAGGACCCCTTCTTGCCCAGGGACCCCTTCATCCCGGAGATCCCTTCATTTATGGGGACTTCATCCCTGGGGACCCCACTGCCTGGGGGACCCCACTGCCCTTGAGGACCCCTTGTGGAGATCCCTTCATCTTTTGGGACCCTTCACCCCAGGGAACCCCTTCACCCTTTGGGACCCTTCACCCTGGGGACCCCACTGTCCTTTGGGAGCCTTCATCTTTTGGGACCCTTCACCCCCAGAGACCCCACTGTCCTTTGGGACCCTTCACCCCAGGGAACCCCTTCACCCTTTGGGGCTCTTCACCCCAGGGGACCCCTTCATCTTTTGGGGCCCTTCATCTTTTGGGACCCTTCACCCCCGGGGACCCCCTGCCCAGGGGACCCCGGCCCAGCCCCGCCTGTCTCCTGCCAGCAGCGCCCCCCGGCCGCGCTGTGCCCCCCCAGCTGCCACATCGGCTCCGTCACGGTGCCCACCCAGCCGCTTAATGAGCGCCTTAATGAAGATTAGCGGCGCTGCGTGCTGAGCGAGGGGGGCACACGGCTGGGGCTGGGGGCTGCGGGTGCCCACGGGGGGCTGGGGGGCTGCGGGGGTGTCCCCGGCCGCCCCCGGAGCAGATGGGTGCGCAGGGAGGGTGGGTGGGTGCGTGGGGGGCGATGCGCGGCTGGCGACAGGAACATTTTCGCGGCCGTGGGTGGGCACGAGGATGCCCAGGAGGGGCTGCCGTGCTCGCCCTGCCCCTCCTGGGGTGTGCCAGCCCCGCGGGGACCTCCCCCAGGAGGGTCGTGGTCCCTCTGTCCCCAGGGACATGGGGCGGGGGGACGTGGGGGTGGGGGGTTTCCACCCTGCCCCAATGAGGGGAGCAATGCTGAGCCCCCCCCCCCGAACTCACACTGTCTCCTTGTCCCCAAAAATCCCAAAACCACCCCAGAGAGTGAAGATTGGGGTGCTGAGCCCCTCCCCCTGAACCCACACTGGCTCCACCTCCCCCAAAATCCCCAAAACCTCTCAGTGTGTGATGTTTTGGGGTGCTGAGCCCCCCAGGAGGGGACCTGGGCTGGCTGAGCTCAATGTCCCCATCCATCGGCTGCCGGGGGGGTCTCTGGGGGTCTCTGCAGCCCCCCCAAACCCTGGGCTGCTCATTGGGACGACCCCCCCAGAGTGCTTTGGGGCGTCCCTGGGGTCGGACACAGCCCGGGTCCCTCCCTGGTGGCACCACCTGGGGTGGCGCTGGCTCTGTCTCCCCACCTCCCTGGGGGCTGGCTCTGTCCCCCACCGCCCCTGGGGACACCGGGGAGCTGCCACCGCTCGTTCCCCTCCGATCCCGCCGCTCCCAGCCCCAGACGGGGCTGTTGGAGCGGAGCCGGGCCTGGGGACAATGCAAGGACAATGCAGGGGACAGCCGGTTTGATTGGCCGCATCCTGGCTGTCCCCTCGGCCAGACCCCCGAGCAGCCCCCTCCTCCTCCTCCTTCTCCTCCTCCTCCTCTCCTCCTCCTCCTCCTCTCCGTGCCTTAAAAGCCCGGCATCCCTTCCCCAGCCCCTGCAGCCCACGGGAGGAGGAGGAGGAGGAGGAGGAAGGACGGGGGTACGTCTGTCCCGGCTTCGTTTGGCTCCTCCAGAGCCCCCCAGGCTGGGGCAGCTGGGGGATGGGAGGGTTTGGGGGGTGCAGGGGGCTCAGCGCACTGGGGAAGGGTGGATTTGGGGGAAAACAGCAGGAATTTGGGAGCAGCATCCTCAGGATGGAGTGAAAAAAAACTCTGGGCTGGGTGGTGGATTTGAGATTTGAGATTTGGGATTTGGGATTTGGGAGAGGCTGGAGGGGGCCGGGACCCTCCCCCTGCTCTGCCGTGGGTGTCCCATGGGAGGGAATTCTGTGGGAATGGGCCCTGGAGGGTTTGGATGTGGAGCTGCCAGGACTGTGGGGGGGGGTCCCCGTGCTGTCACATGGATCCTGTGGCCTCTGGCCCACCAGGGTGTTGGAAAAGCAGATTGAGACTGGGATTTAGACCTGGATGTGGGAGCAGAAGTGGGGAGCAGCAGTTCCAGGGCCCCTGGGCCCTGGCCACTGGGCTTGATGGGCCAGTGGCCAGTTCCACCCATTGCCACGAGCGCCGGGACCCCTTTATCACCTCCCGAGCCCCTCATCACCTCCTGAGTCCCTCATCACCTCCCGAGCCCCTCATCACCTCCCGAGCCCCTCATCACCTCCCGAGCCCCTCATCACCTCCCGAGCCCCTCATCACCTCCCGAGTCCCTCATCACCTCCTGAGTCCCTCATCACATCCCGAGCCCCTCATCCTTTCCCAACTCCTTATCCTTTTCCAACCCCTCTTTCCCCTCCCGACCCCCCCATCCCCTCCCGACCCCTCCGCACTCCCCGGGGCTGGGAGATCCGGGCAGCCCCGGCAGCCCCGCGGGGCCTCTCCTGCACAGCCGAGCGTGAAACGCGCTGAAAAGGGTCACGGAAGGTCCCCAGGGCCGGGGGCTGTCTGTCCCCTCTGGGGCTGGGGCTGTCTGTCCTCTCTGGGAAGGGGCTGCCTGTCTCTGCCAGGGGTTGAGGCTGCCTGTCCCCCCCAGGGGTTGGGGTCTGCCTGTCCCCCCCAGGGGTTGGGTCCCCTCTGTCCCGTCCACCCCGGGGTTTGGGGTCTCTCTGTCCCCTCCCGGGATTGGGGCTGTCTGTCCCACTCACCCCAGGGCTGGCTCAGCCACATCCCGTCCCCACATCCAGCCCTTGGTGACCATTTCAGGTCCCTCGGTGACCATTGCAGGTCCCTTGGTGACCGATCCAGCCCTTGGTGACCCATCCAGCCCTTGGTGACCCATCAAGCCCTTAGTGGCCATTCCCGGTCCCTTGGTGGCCATTCCAGGTCCCTTGGTGACCCACCCAGCCCTTGGTGACCCATCCAGGTCCCATCCCCAGGCACGGTGACCCCAGCCGGGGCAGGATGTGTCCCCTGGGCTGGCTGGGTGTGGCCAGCCTGTGCTTGGGGACACTTTGGGCTGTCCCAGCTGAGAAGAGGATGAAGGTGGACAAGCCCAAGGCTGAGCTGACCCTCTATGAAAACCTGGATCTGGGCAACTACGAGGTGACCTTGGATAACTACGGGGACATCCTGGACCTGAGCAACTACGAGGAGCTCTACGACTACAAGGACCTTGTCTCGAAGGTGAGGGGGACACAGGAGAGCCCCCGGGACAGGGATTTGGTGCCAGGGATGGATGAGGCACGGCAGCTCCTGGCAGCAGCAGCCCTGGCAGCTCTCCCGGCGCTGGGCAAGGTTTTACCCGAGCCAAAGCTCTGCCAGCTCCTGGATGTGAGGATTCCTTCATCCCTCTGGGCCAGGGGGGTTCCTTGGAGAGCCTGTGGAGCTTCCCAAGAAGGAATTCATGATCCCAACCTGTAACCCTGACCGGTGCCACCACCCCGGAGGGGACAAGGACACAAGTCACCCACCCCCCCTCACACCCAACTGTGTTTGCAGATCGAGGTTGGCACCTTGGCTCCTCGCCCCAAGGACCGCAAACCCCTCCCAGGGCTGGGTGAAACCACAGCTGGAACCCCAAAACCACAGCCCCCGAGCAGTGCTGGCCCCGTGCCCCCAGCGCCCATCCCCGGGCAGGGTGAGTTGTGTTCCCTTGGGATGCATCCCCGAGTGGAGTTTTGGGGGGAAAAATGGGAATTTTGGTGCTGCCAGCAGCTCTTTGCAGGGTTTTGGGGTTGCATCTGCTGGCACAGCGAGGCAGGAGGGCTGCAGAGAAAGAAATTACTGGGGAAAAAATGAACTCCAGCAAAGCAGCGAGGCTTTAATGAGCAGAGCCTTTGCGACAGAGGCAATTAGATTAGTGACAATTAAAATCCTGCAGCGAGGATAAATATCTTTATTCCTTTTCTGTCACTCCAGGCCAAGAAAAATTAAGTGGGAGGAGAAAGGAAATCGGTGCTGAGCTGCTTTGAAGCCCCCTTGAAGGGGTGGGAGGGGGGGCTTGGTTTTACCCCTCCTGCCCCCCGTGCTGGGGCCTTGGGGGCAGCTGAGACAGATTTTTTCTTGATCCAAAAGAATTTTGTTGAGTTCTTCTTCCTCCAGTGGGAAAATTAAGGGGGCCAGGAGAGCTTTGGGTGTAAAAAGCTGAATTTGGGGGCTTTAATCTCCCCTCCTCCTGCAGGAGGGATTTGATCCTGGGCACTTCATTTTTTAACAGTTTGGGTTTTGGGTTTTTTTTCTGGGAGTTTCTGTCCCTTCCCTGGGTGCTGCGGGGCTGTGACAGCTCTGGGTGTCACAGATCCATGTCCCCATGACAGGGTGGGTAGATCCCACTGTTGTGGGGCATTTTGTGGGGTTGGGGTCTATGACAGCTTTAGTGACATGGATTTTGTGTCCCCACAGTGTGAGCATGTCCCTGTGTTGTTCTGGGGTATTTTATGGGGTCAGGAGGCTGTGACATCTCTGTGTGCCACAAAGCCACATCCCCACAGCCGAGTGGGCTCCTCCCGCTGTTGTGGGGTATTTTATGGGGTCAGACTTTATTTCCACGCACCCGCAGGGCTGCACAGCTGCCAGCTGTGCCTGTGCCTCGGCACCTCGGTGTACTGCGACGACACCGAGCTGGAGCAGATCCCGGCGCTGCCCCCGGACACCGCGTACCTGTACGCCCGCTTCAACCGCATCGAGGCTGTCCGCGCCGCCGACTTCAGCGGCCTCGGTGCGTTGGGGTCACCAAAATCCCCTGCAGTGACCTCATTGCGTCGGGGTCATCAAAATCCCCACAGTGGCCTCGGCATGTCGGGGTCACCAAATCCCCCACAGCAGCCTCAGCACATCGGGGTCACCATAACCCCAACAGTGGACTTGGCATGTCGGGGTCACCATAATCCCAACAGTGGACTTGGCACGTCGGGGTCACCAAAATCTCCCACAGCGGCCTCGGTGCATCAGGGTCACCAAAATCCCCCACAGAGGCCCCGGCACGTCGGGGTCACCACTCGGGGAACCCGGGAGACAAATCCCCCACAGCGGCCTCAGAGGAGGGAAGTTGAAGTGCAGGATTTTATGGGAAGAATAAGTTTAAAAGTAAAAAAAAGCAGAGTTTTAGCCTGGTGGTGACGGGCACACCTAGAATTGGGTTTTATAAGGTTCATTAATTGGGATATTGAACAGGTGTATTTGGGTTTTGATGGTTTTAATAGGGTTAATTAATTGGGATCTTTAACAGGTATAGTTATATTTGAGTTTTGATGATTTTGTAGGGTTAAGTAATTGGGATATTTAGCAAGTATGGTTTTGAAGGTTTTGTAGGGTTCATTAATTGGGATATTGAACAGGTATATTTGGGGTTTTGTAGGGTTAATTATTACTAATATCAAACCCTCAGAGCTTGTAATTCATCCTGTAAGACTGAAAACTTTTTTCCATGGCCAGAGATCACAGCCAGTGTCTCTGGGGGCTCTGTCCAGGGGGGTTCCTGACCCCTGCCAGGGTCCCAGGGCAGCCAGAGGGAATCTCTGGATTCCCACAGGGAATGAGGTGACTAAACCATCCTGGCTTTGTCCCTCTTCTCGTCCTCCCCTCAGAGAAGCTGGAGCGCATCGACCTGAGCAGCAATTCCATCTCGTGGGTGGACGCGGACGCATTCCGGCGGCTGCCCCGGCTGCAGGAGCTGCTGCTGCCCGAGAACCGCCTGCCGGCACTGCCCGAGCTGCCCCGCAGCCTCGTCCACCTGGATGTCCGCCACAACCGCATCGCCAGCGCCGGGCTGCGCCCCGAGGCCTTCCGGGTGGGTCCCTGCTCCGGAGTGGGGACAGGGGTGAGGAGGGGTGGGACAAGGGGTCAACTCCAGGGGGGTCAGCTCCAGGGGGGTCAGCTCTAGGGAGGTCAGATCCAGAGGGGTATTCTCTATTGGGGTTTCATCCCTATTGGGGTTTTATCTCTATTGGGGTTTTATCCCTACTGGGGTTTAATCCCTACTGGGGCTTCATCCCTATTAGGGTTTCATCCCTACTGGGGCTTCATCTCTTTCAGGGTTTAATCTCTATTGGGGTTTAATCTCTTTTGGGGTTTAATCTCTGTTGGGATTTTATCTCTATTGGGGTTTCATCTCTTTCAGGGTTTTATCTCTATTGGGGTTTCATCTCTGTTGGGGTTTAATCTCTATTGGGGTTTTATCTCTGTTGTGGTTTCATCCCTATTGGGGTTTAATCTCTATTGGGGTTTCATCTCTAGGGGAGAGTCAACTTTAGTGGGATTCATCTTTAGGGGGTTAATCTCCAGGGGGTTCATTGGTTCATTTCTAGGGGTTCATCTCTTGGGAGATTCATGTCTAGGAAGGTTCCTGTTTAGGGGAGTTCATCTTTTGGGGTCATCTTTAAGGGTTCGTCTCTAGCGGTTCATCTCTAGGGAGTTCATCTCTAGGGGGATCATTGTTCATCTCCTGGGGGTTCATCTTTGGGGGCTCCTCTTTAGGGGTTCATCTCTATTTGGGTTCATTTTTAGGAGATCCCCTCTTTAGGGGTCCATCTCTATTTGGGTTCATCTTTAGGGGTTCCCCTCTGCCCTCTCCCCGCAGGACCTGAAGCAGCTGCAGTTCCTCCATCTCTCCGATAACCAGCTGGATTTTATCCCGGTGCCCCTTCCCGAGAGCCTGCGCTCCCTGCACCTCCAGGTGGGACAGGGTTGGCCTGTACCTGAGCCTAGCAGAGCCCTCATCCCGCTCCTCCTCCTCCTCCTCCTCCTCCTTCTCCTCATCCTCTTCTTCCTGGTCCTGGTCCTCCTTATCCTGGGCCTAGGCCTGGGCCTGCTCAGCCTCCTCATCCCTTTGACTCAGATTTGTCCCTTTCCCTGCAACTCCAGGTGGGATGAGGTTTACCTGAGTTTAGCAGATCTTCCTCCCCCTCCTCCTCCTCCTTCTCCTCCTCTTCATTGTCCTTTTTCTTTTCCTGGTCCTGGTCCTGGCTCTAGCCCTGGTCCTTTTCTGGTCCTGGTCCTGGCTCTAGCCCTGGTCCTTTTCTGGTCCTGGTCCTGGTTCTAGCCCTGGTCTGAGTCCTAGTCCTGGTCCTTTTCCTGGTCCTGGTCCTATTCTTGGTCCTTTTCCTAGTCCTGGCCCTGGCCCTGATCCTGGTCCTTTTCCTGGCCCTGGTCCTGGTCCTTTTTATGGTCCTGGTCCTGGTCTTGGCCCTGATCCTGGCCCTGGTTCTGGTCATGGTCCTGGGTCTGGTCCTGGTCTTTTTGCTGGTCCTGGTCCTTTTCCTGGTCCTAGCCCTGGTCACAGTCCTTTTCCTAGTCCTGGTCCTTTTCCTGGTCCTGGTCCTTGTCCTGGTCCTGGTCCTGGTCCTTGCCCTGGTCCTTTTCCTAGTCCTGGTCCTTTTCCTGGTCCTAGCCCTGGTCACGGTCCTTTTCCTGGTCCTAGTCTTTTCCTAGTCCTGGTCCTGGTCCTTGTCCTGGTCCTGATCCTGGTCCTGGTCCTTGCCCTGGTCCTTTCCCTAGTCCTGGTCCTTTTCCTGGTCCTAGCCCTGGTCACGGTCCTTTTCCTGGTCCTGGTCCTGGTCTTTTCCTGGTCCTCTTCCTGGTCCTGGTCTTTTTCCCAGTCCTCTTCCTGATCCTGGTCATGGTCCTGGTCGTGGTCCTGGCCCTGGTCCTGGTCCTTGTCCTGGTTCTCCTCCTCTCCTGCTCCCGTGACTCGGGTCCCCTTTGCATGCCCGCAGAACAACAACATCCGGACGATGCACGAGGACACGTTCTGTGACCGCCAGGAGCAGGGCCAGATCCGCCGGGCGCTCGAGGACATCCGCCTGGACGGGAACCCCATCAACCTCAGCCTCTTCGCCAGCGCCTTCTCCTGCCTGCCCCGCCTGCCCACCGGCCGCTTCTCCTGAGCCCCCGCTGCTGCAGACACAGGAAAATGTTCCCAGATCCCGTCCCACAGCGCTCAGACCCCGCTGCTCCACGGAAAATGTGGAAGTGGAGGTCTTCCATCCCAGGGCAAATGCGTAAAATAAAAAGAAAGTAAAATAAAGGTTTTAAAATGCATTCAAAGCCTTGTTCTTGACAGTGAGAGAAGCTGGGAATGCAGACCCAGCCCAACAGCTTTGCTTGGATTTGCAAAGTTGGATTTTCCCTTCATCCCGCTTCTCCCTCATTCCCTCCAGAGCTGTTGGAATCCAGGACATCCCTCTGGCTGCCCTGGCTGTCTCCAGACCCTGGAGGGGGCTCAGAGACCCTGACACGAAGTCAAAAACACCTGTGGCTTCAATTTTAGCCCATGGAAAAAGCTGCCAATTTTGTATAAGGAATTACAAACCACAAGGGTTTGAGTGGTGTGGATGTTGAATTAACACGGGGTGAAAAATTAGAATTTTGGGGCTTTTTAAAATGGGGTTCAAGGGGACAAAATGGAGGGATTTGGGTGTGTCCTGACCTCCTTCTCCTTCTCCTTCTCCTTCTCCTTCTCCTTCTCCTTCTCCTTCTCCTTCTCCTTCTCCTTCTCCTTCTCCTTCTCCTTCTCCTTCTCCTNTCTCCTTCTCCTTCTCCTTCTCCTTCTCCTTTCTCCTTCTCCTTCTCCTTCTCCTTCTCCTTCTCCTTCTCCTTCTCCTTCTCCTTCTCCTTCTCCTTCTCCTTCTTTCTCCTTCTCCTTCTCCTTCTCCTTCTCCTTCTCCTTCTCCTTCTCCTTCTCCTTCTCCTTCTCCTTCTCCTCCATGTCTTGCTGTGATGGTGACACTTTTCTGTTGGTTTAAGGTAGGGACACACTGCCCAACATAAATGACAGAGTTTGGCAGGTTATTGTAAACGTGGCACACGTTGTTTTTGACATAAAATGTAAACACCGCCCTGAGAGCAGTGCATGCCATGGTATCCATGGGTTTGGGAGGAGATCCCTGGATTTGGGAGGGCATCCTTAGATTTGGGAGGGTGCCCATGGATTTGGGAGGGTATCCCTGCATTTGGGGCGGTACCCGTGGATTTGTGAGTGTAACTATGAATTTGGGACAGTATCCATGGATTTGGGATGGCATCCATGGATTTGGGATGGTATAAATGGATTTGGGAGGGTATAAATGGATTTGGAATAGTATCCATGGATTTGGGATGGCATTCCTGGATTTAGGATGGTGCCCATGGATTTGGGATGGTATTGATGGATTTGGGACAGTATCCATGGATTTTGAAGGGTATCCATGGATTTGGGATAGTATCCATGGATTTTGGAGGGTATCCATGGATTTAGGATGGTGTCCATGGATTTGGGATGGCATTCATAGATTTGGGAGGACATCCCTGGATTTGGGAGGGCATTCCTAGATTTAGGATGGTGCTCATGGATTTGGGAAGGTATCCATGGATTTGGGAGGGTATAAATGGATTTGGGATGTTATCCATGGGTTTGGGATGGTGCCCATGGATTTAGGAGGACATCCCTGGATTTGCAATGGTATTCATGGATTTGGAATGATGTCAGTGGATTTGGGATGTTATCCATGGATTTGGGACAGTACCTATGAATTTGGAACCACAGAGAAACCCGGAGATCCCCAAGTCCCTGAGCCTGGAGCCGAAATCTCCGGGATGATCCCAGCTCCCCGCAGAGGAGGAGCTGCCCAGCGGTGTGGGATATTTCCGAGGCGATGTATTCATCCCTTGTATTTTTATCCACATGTAAGGAACACCTCGAGGGGGATGACACATCCCTGGAGAATCCAAAACCCTGAAGTGAAACCACGGAGCTCAGCCCACATCCTCGGAGCCCGGGGAGGCATCCGAAGGCGGCTGGAGAAAACTTGGGAAGAGGATCCGGCTCCTCATCCGTGGGGACGCGGCGCCTGCGGCGCTGGCACGGTGTGGGCACCTCCTCTCTCCCCTTTTCCATGCAAAACCCAGCCCAGGCGTGGATTGTTGGCCCAAAATCCTTGGGAAATGGGAATTTGGAGTTGTTTGATCCAGAATTCCAGGATTTGGAGCCGCTGTTGTCGTGTCACCCTCGAGCCTGCGGATCCGTTGCCCCCGCGTCCTCCTCCATCCCCACCCACCCTTCCAACACCTTCCCACCAGCCTTCATCCCGCTGATCCCACGGGATGGAGCCCCCAGCACCCCCTCCCCAAATCCAGCCCCACCTCTGCCCCTCCAGAGCTCTGGAAAAGGTGGGACCCCCCCCGTCCCATCCTGGCTGAGGGGACCCCAAAGCCACCCAAGGCAAGACAACGCTCCTAAATCCCAACTCTCCTGCAGCAACCCCGCCTCGGAGCTCCTCATTTCTTTTGGAAAAGTTGGGATTTCTGCAAATCCGGCTCCAGCGGGGTGGATTTTTGGCCGATTTTTTCCCCGCCGGGTCCTTCGCGTTGGTCCCGCTAGAGGGCAAAGGCAGCGCCGGGAATGCCGGACCTTCCCTCCTGGAACCTCCGCTTCTCCCGGGAATGCCCGCCGGGCTCGGGAACAGCCCGGGAATGCTCCGGGGAAGGGCTCAGAGGAGCTGCGGGGGCTGGGCTGCGGCAGGAGGGTGAGGGCAGCGCGGGGATGGCTCCCGGATTTACAGAACTCCCAAATTCCCCAGAGCAGTGAACGGCTCTGTCGGGGCTTTGCTGGGAGAGTTGAGGTTCAGGGCGGGTGCCTTTGGGTGGCTTTTGTGTCCCTGCCACCCCCAGGGAGGAGGGACCAGGGTGGGGCAGGAGAGGCCGAGCTGGGGCTGGTTTGGGGTCGGTTATTGATTATTGGGGCAGTTATTGATCGCGCCCTCGTGTCCTCGCTGGGAACTGCCACCGCCTCCTGCCACTCGTCCCCTCCGTGGGCAGGGACTGTCCCCAGGCGCCGGGATCTGTCCTGGAGCAGCCAGGAGGGCACAGAGCCCTCCCCGGGGGGGGTTTCATCCCTGTCCTGCCCTCCATCCCTTCTCCCTCGCCCGGGGAACATTCCCGGGTGGATTCCTGGCCCTGCCGTGTGGCTCTGCCGCTCAAGGTCACCTTCCCCCGGCGGGGCTGGGCTGGCACAAATCGATCGCTCGGCTCAGGCAGCGCCGGCTCCGCATCCTGCGGCTGCTCCATATGGCCCCCGCCCCCTCCTCTCCTTCTCTTCCTCCCCCTCCTCCTCCTCCTCCTCCTCCGTCCCGCCCCTCCCCGCTCCGCTCCCAGCCCCAAAATTCAGCCGGGGAATTCTGCGAACGCCCCGAGCCCCGGGGAGCGGGACCCGCTCCGCTCGGGGGGCACCGCACGGGCCTCGCTGGGGCTGGGAGGAGCTGGGACAGCGGGGGACACATCGGGGGGCTCCGGGGGACATCCCGGGGGGCTCTGGGGGACATCCCTGGGGGCTCTGGGGGACATCCCTGGGGGCTCCGGGGACACCTCGGGGGGCTCTGGGGCTCGGGGGGCTCTGGGTGACATCCCCGGGGGCTCTGGGTGACAGCTGTAAGGGACAGTGGGTGACATCCCTGGGGGCTGACTGTGACACTCCTGGGGGCTATGGGTGACATTCCTGGGGGCTGTGTGACATCCCTGAGGGCTCCGGGTGACATCCCTGAGGGAGCTGTGTGACACCCCTGGAGGACAGCGGGCGACATCCCTGGGAGACAGAGTGTGACACCCCTGGGGGACAGCGTGGGACATTTTTGGGGGACTATGTGTGACATCCCTGGGGGCCGAGTGTGACACCCCTGGGGGACAGCGCATGACACCCCTCAGGGACAGTGTGTGACATCCCTGAGGGACCTTGTGTCACATCCCTGGCGATGCGTGTGACATCCCTCAGGGACAGCGTGTGACATCTCTGGGGGACTCTCTGTCACATCCTTGGGGGACTCTGTGACACCCCTGGGTGCCCTGGGTGACATCCTTGGGGGACAGAGTGTCACATCCCTGGCAATGCGTGTGACATCGCACAGGGACAGCGTGTGACAACCCTGAGGGACGGGGTGACATCTTTGGACAACTCTGTGTGGCATCCCTGGGGACACTGTGTGACACCCCTGAGGTGACATCCTGGGGACCCTGTGCGTGCCCAGGAGTTCCTCCATCCCCTCTGCCCGGCAGTGTCCCCCTCCAAATCCACATTCCCAATTTTCTCCCTGCTCCCACCCAAATTCCTTCTCCCTTTTCCCCTTTGGCCACCACGTGGGGACAGAACCGTCCCCTGGTGTCCCTTGATGGAACTTTTCATCCTCCTGGGCCCTGGAAAATCAGGGAAGATCCCCCAGAATGACCAAAACCTCATTTTCCTGCCCCAATCCCAATGGGGTCATTGCTGGAGTCATTAATTCCCCCTAGGATTAACAGATTATTCTGATTATTAATGATGCTGCTCCAATTGTGGAGTTTTTCCCCTTTATTTTTCCAGAATATCCCAGTGCTGGGATTGATTAGGTGGGAGCAGGGGATGGAAGGGACACCCATGAATTATCCCTGAGGTGCAGACAGCTCTGGGGTCCCTCCAGGGAAACTCAACAATGGGAATGGGAACGGGATGAGGGGAACAGCCTGAGCTTTTCTTCTCCCCATTTTCCCCTTCACCACTGAAAAAACAAAAAAACAAAACAAAACAAAAAAATTAAAAAAATAAAAAAAGGAGGAGGGGAAAACGCAGCAAAATGCAGCAAACACATTTCTTGTTTTTTTCCACGTCCCCCTCCCCCTCGAGCTGTATAAAAATAATCCGCAAAAATTCAGATTTCTCCGCCTCAGCCCCCTCCCTGCAGCATTCCCGAGGGTTTGGGGGTTCCTGCAGCATCCCGGGGTTTTCCTGCCTTTTTCTGGGATCGGGATCCTGCACCCTGCGCGGCTCCGGGGTGGGAGATGTGGTTGCCACATCCTATTTTTAGCAGCCACGCGTTAGGTGCTGTCAACAGGAGCCCTGGCAAAGGCTGGGAAAAGCTGCGGGATGGGAAGCGGGAATTGCCGGGAATGCGGGCCCGGGATGAACCCGGGAGCGGCTCCTTTTGGGGGGAAGGGAGTTCGGGGTGCTGGGAGGGGATGGAGGATCCCAGGACAGGGAGGCGGTGGCCCTGTGGCGGTGTCACCTCCTTGGGGGGGGACAGCAGAGCAGGGAATGT